TACCAAAAGAATTACATTTCATACTAGGTACTAAAGCTCAGAGATTCAATCATTTCTATTTTTTATCACAAAGTGAAGCCCTTATATTTCAAAGGTTTCTAAATGTCCAATTAACATCTAATGTCCTCAATTTCTGCCTTGCTGACCTGCACTAAAACTTCTCATGCCTGCTAATTGTGTAATAGGTGAATGAATAAAGGATGGCAGAAAGGCTGCTTGATGACTTGAGAAAGTGTCCATACAGAGCTATCTGCACATTTTAATTAAGTTGTCCTGATGCTAAAGTGCAGGAAACCATAAGTTGGAATAGCGAAGACAGTTAAATAGTCAAGGAAGAGAGAAATTACCTGAACATATTGTTTAGATAAATTAAAATCACTTTATCCAAGAAAGTATGGTTATTATGTCTGCCTTAAACCAAATCATATTGTTGGTTTCACAACTTGGGTTAGTTAAGAGCATGATTCCCATTTAGGGAAATGGAATCCTTTTCTTTGGAATTGTTCCCTAACTCAGTTATCATCACCACCACCAAGTGTAAAAATTATCTTCAATCAATCTTGATTTGTATGCCTCCGAGAATTACAACTAAGAAAAATGGGCATCGGCAGGCAAACTAGGCTACACACTCAGTGACTCAAACCATGTCTTCTGGCTGCTAAGCTCATACTCTTTCCACTACGCTCTACAGGCCCTTTCTCAGTAACAACGGAAATCTAAAACAAGCTTTCAGAGTTTTCGAGGATCCACTGTTTCATTTGATCTTGGTAATAATTTTGGAAAGCTGGGACAGACATATCTCTAACATACAGCACAGTGGGTCCCCAAGTGTGGTATTTATAGAAAAATCTAAAGTTAAAAAACAAAAGCAAAAACGAGAAACAACCCAAACCAAAAACCTGCCCTCGTTTCTGATTGCGGTTTAGACCAGGGGTCAGTAAACTGCCCAAAGAAGTTGTTATCTAATGCCTGGTAATATCCAAAGACATAAACAACAACTAAAAAAATTATTGTGTGCAACTTAAGTATGTTACCTTTTGAGTAATCATATCTTTAAAAAATGAGTACAGCAGGGCGCCTGGGTGGCTCAGTCATTAAGCGTCTGCCTTCGGCTCGGGTCATGATCCCAGGGTCGCGGGATTGAGTCCCACATCGGGCTCCCTGCTCAGCGGGAAGCCTGCTTCTCCCTCTCCCACTCCCACTGCTTGTGTTCCTGCTCTCACTGTCTCTCTCTGTCAAATAAATAAATAAAATCTTAAAAAAAAATGAGTACAGCATACCTGTTATGTTCATATTCTAGGGACAGCAAATACCAGATATTTGTAGTATCCCTCCTCTTTCCCACTGTAATCCTTCAGCACACTCTCCTGCTGGGCCTGAACCCAGCCTCTGAATCTTTCTGAACATATAGCTCCAAACAGACCCTACCCTATCAATTGACTGGCAATATTGGTCACGAAAAAAATCTGCATTTTCCCATTCTGACTCTCTCTTATGTTGTATAACAGCTGTTTCTTGCATTTTTCTTTGCTTCTGATTTGTTGTTATTAATGGTTCTCACATTATTTCATGTATGTGTATACTGTCTTTACCAAGCAGAGGGACTCTGCCTTTTATTTATCTCGGAGCACCAAATGCAATGATTCATAAATAGCAGTCACTCCAAGTGTTCCGAATGTACCTAAGACAAATGTATACTATTTACAGAAAAATCTAAAGTTAAAAAAAACAAACAAACACAAAACCCCCCCAAAACTGTCCTTGTTTCTGATTATGGTTTAGGCCAAAGGTCAGTACACTTTTTTCTGTAAAGAGCCAGATAACAAACATTAAAAGCTTTCTTTGCCAGATGGTCTCTGATATAACTACTCAACTCTGCCATTGCAGTGTAAAGCGCGCACACAAACGTGGGAACGAGTGAGTGTGTCTACATTCCAGTCAAACTTTATTCTGAAATCTGAATTTTACAGAGTTTTCACACATCACAAAATATTATCCTTCTCTTAACTTTTCTCCAGACAACTTAAAAATGTAAAAACACCATTCCTGGCTTTCGGGCCATAGAGAAACAGGAGACAGTCTGCGCTCAGCCCACAGGCTATCGTTTACTGATCTCTGGCCTAAATCTGTGGTTCTCAAAATGAGAACTTCGGGTGGTCTGAAACTGCAAGATTCTTTCAGCAAGTCCAACTACCTATGTGTGAGGCCAGCATTTCTTTGTCGACTTCAAGCAAAACAATGCACCAGGACAGACCGAATGCAGAAGGAAATATGAGGATCCAGCTGCCTCCTATTAAGCCAGAAACTGAAGAGATTTGCAAAACTGGAAAACAATGTCACACGTGTCACTCATTTTTATGTCTGGAAAATACATTGTTGTATTTCATGACCCTCTTTACGGTAACACGTATGGGGTTTACTACTGATTTCTAAAATGGATTAATATTTTTGAAGTTTCTTAGTTTTGACTTCTAACGTGATAAATGTCAAGAGCTACAACCCATGTAAACAAAAGCTCTCTGGAGGCCCTCAGTAAACCTTAAAAATGTAAAGGGATCTTGAGACCAGAGAGCTGGAGAGCCAGCTGCCGAGCCACAGCTGGGTTAACATAGTCCCGCGGCTGGGTGGGCAGAGACGGCTTGCAGGCCACTTCCTCAGACCACCTGATTTCAGTCTCCATCTTGGCCTCTCCCCACCAAAGAGCTTCCTAGCTCTTCTGTGATTAGATCCTGATTCGGCAAAATTTAATCCCATGCAATTTATGTCAGTGTCAATGAAGTTGGGGAGAGCGTAGTAGTGCTTTTCATGAGAGAACCCTTCAGATATGTGGAGACCAGAACACTGTTTCAGCCTTTACTTTGCCAAAATAGGCAGCTAGAGGCAAGAATCTCTCCCTGGCTTGTAGTTTCCAATCTTAAAAAAAAAAAAAAAAAAAATTATTACTGTAATTCCTTGCCTTCAGAGCATATCTCAAAACAAACATTCACTGGCTCCTGTATAAATCCTAGTCCCTCCGACTTGGCTCCGCAAAAACTGTGGGCTCCTGATGCTAATCAACATTCTCACAGCGGCAACCCATCTAAAGCATTACATCTAAAGAAATAAAATCCATTAGACATGGTGATGGTTTGACAGTACTAATAATGCACTAAAAATTGCATTTTGCAAGTAAAGTATATACGCCTTATAGAGCATTTAAGAGTATTAATATTTTACTTGTTCTGTCATTTGAGATTTAAAAACTTTTTAAAAGAATGTTTTAGCAGAAACAAAAAGGGAAAGTGATCTTTATTCCAGTGTTACCATATATAGGGAAACCCTATATAAGGAAGCATTTCTTTCAATGTAAATTTACTTTGTCATAAAGTTTAACTGTCCATCCAAATGATGCGTAGTACTGCTGGCCTGGGGAAACCACCTTCACCCCCTTCCCCCTGACCATTTTAGAGAAAATTACGGAAATAATAACCATGATTCCTACATTTGTCATTTTGTTGAATTACATATCCTTCGTAAGAAAGTGTTCCCTTGTGAGTATATAATTCTAAAAGTCTATAGCTTTCTCTTATGGAATTATAACTTTGTAAACAATAACAAAGGCAGAAGAAATTCATATTTTTGGATATTTATCCTTCAATCTGTGTTATCAAATATCTAAAAAAAAAAAAATCAAGAATTATGGTTGGATGCTAAGTCTGCCATAATTTGTCATTACTGGCTCCAAGCAGAAAAATGAAATACATTTAGCTGTTCTGACCCACACCAAAGCTGAAATTCACTAGCACCTTTAAGATCAGGAAGACACTAACAAATCATTACATTACCTGTTTGGAGGATTATTACCCATGTGGGGGGGAATCATGCAATTTATATTAGAAGGGTTTTGGTAGCTGTGATGTTCAAAGAAGAACAAAAAATAGATGAAAACATGGAGAAAATGCTTACTGTTTAAATCCACATAAAAGCAAAAGTCTCATCATGATTGCAAAACATTCTAAATTGTGAAACTTAAGTTACTTGTAAAATAGACAAAAGTAGAGCTGCTTCCCCAGTCGTTTTTTGAGACCTCAGCATCAATTTAAAGAAAATGCTTATATTTTAAAGAAAGCTTATTTCAAAATGTGAATCCTTACACTAAGTACAAATAAGGACAAGAAGGAAATTTACATCTCATATGACAGTGCTCCATGGGTATGCACATGAAGATGATGGGAAACTGAAGTTTACAAAAAAGTTACTTGCTTCACTATACAATTCTTTAAGGAATAATAAGAGATGGGAGCCTAGAAGAATGACAACTGGTGCTAATATAAAAATGATCAAAATTACATAAAATTGTTATGTGGATTACATGGAAAAAAGAGGAAAGGACGGACGTACTTCACCGTGTAGAAAAGATCTACTTCTGTCAAATACTGTCTACAAAAATTTTTTTTGTATACGGAATCATTTTTCCCAATCTCATTCTTAAATCAAAATTATGTTGGAATCACAATCACAGTCACATGGAATTTATGCCACCAAAAGACAGAAGGGATCAAGAGGATCCTGGTCCAAATTTGAGAAGAAAAAAACTAGTTTGAGAAAAATACTGCTACCGCTACTCCAAAGCAGCAAAACTAGAATTCAAACTGGTTATTTTAAAAGCATGGCACAGCAGTTTAAAATTTGAAAAACACCATTGCTATTTTAATAAAATAGTTCCGTTTTAATTTCCCAATTCCCCTCCCCAGCAGTGGGCCAATATAGTGTCACTTTGTCGAGCTGCTGGGGAATTTTCTTAGCACTTTGTGGAAACTGTTGGCTTTCAGAAATGGACAGGCTGATTTGAACTAGAAGTCAGACAAAATACAGAATTGCAACAACAATAAAAAGCAATTTAGAAAGAGGATCAAGCCAAGCAGATAGGCAAACTTTATAAAATCAGTTTTCTGGGATTGTTTATCAGGTCAGTTCCCTAATTTCAAAAAGCCAAACCAAAGCAAAGCATGTGGACTTACATTGCTTCTTTAGTTCTTTCAGCTGTTGTTTAAACTGTACAAATTTTGCATTATTTTGAAAGTCTGCATCACAATTCTTATTCTGTAAAGCCAAAAATTTCTTCTCCACTAATAATTTTAGATCTGGTACTTTTTCTGGACGTTCTTCTTTTACCTGAGGAAGACAATACAATTATCTCAGTTAAATGTTAACAACGACACTGTTTTGTAACATTATTTTTATCTCATTTCATTCAAATAAAAATACAGTGAGGTAGAAAACAGAATCCCAACAGAACCAGCGAAGCTGAGACTTGTTCCAGAACAGACTGCTGGTAAACACTGGGGGGGGAGCCATTCGCCCCGTCCACTCATCACTTTAATCTTAAACCCTCGCCCCCGTGCCCTACTAACTTTCATCCCCTGAGGGCTTACTAGGGAAAAATCTCACACCAGCGCAACTCTGTGCCCTCCAACTTCGCCAGAACTTGAGTCTCATGGCTTCCTCCTTTTTGTCAGGTCTGCTCAGTCCCCTCTCCTACTCCCCAAGTCCTGATTCCAGCCTTCATTCTCCTCAGGGCTCCTCTGCTCTGGCTCTCTGCCCCAACGGGGAATAGTGGCTGGGACTTCATGAAGAAGTTGAGGCTTTAACCTTGAATTTCACCATCTGCTGCCACAACTAGGAGTAAGTGTCCCCTGTTCTGTTCAAAGCTAAACTCTCAAATCTATATTCCTTTTGTTCCTCCCAGTATTTTATTATAAAACTTTCAAACACGTGGCAAAGTTGAAGGAATTGTATTTTGCCATTCACCTACCTCCTAGATGCTACAATTAAGACTTTGCTATGTTTGCTTTATCACCATTATCTGTTCCATCTATGTTTTTCTTTCTATCCTCAATCTTGCTTTCAAGTTCATTCTTAATTCCGTCTTCTTCACCTGTCAGAACAAACCTTCCCCTCTAGAAGCTTTCCCCCACAAAACCTCTAAATTAGCTCTTTACTCCCAAATTTAACAACAAACAACTTCCTCAAATCCCTGCCCACTCCCCTCAGTTCTTTTCTCTTTATAGTCCAGCTCCTTGGAAAAAATCATCTGTACCCACTGTTCCGACTTCCTCAATCTCAAACCTGAGCCACTGCCATCAGGCTCCTGCTCCCCCCGCAACCCCCCCCCCACCCATTTCACTGTGATTGCTCTTCTTCAGGCCTTCATATTTGGCTCCTTCAATCACTGGCCTTTTCCTGATGCTCCTGCCACCAACCAAAATTCACCCAACTCTCCCTCATGTCCCAGCACGCCTTAGACTTCTACCACAGCCCCTGTAACAGTGAGTTGCATTTATTTTTACATGTTTCTTTCCCCTAATAAAATGCACTCTTTGAAAAATGTGTGATTTATCACTGTGTTTGCCAGCACCTGGCATGTAGCAGATTGTATTCAATATATGTACTTGATAATTTCAAGTGAATTTATCTACATGCTCCAAATATACTTACCCACTAAAACCCCACTGATTGACTTACTGCCGTTAGTAGAGTATACAATTTAGTTTCTGAAGTGGAAGACAACTTAGAGGTCATCCAACCTTGATCTCCACCTTCCTCAGTTTTATAAATAAATAAAATTATATGGAAAGAATTAAATGGCTTGTTTACTATAATCCAGTTGGTTGGAGGCAATGTCAAGATTGTAAAATAGATACAGAAAATTCTTGCTTTGGGTTCCAGTCAATGGAATATAATTTTTATCTCTCCGAATCTGAGTACCAATGCATATGAAGTCAAAAGATTACCTGCAGTTTATGTTTCAATTACCCTTTGTCATGGAAAAAAGAATTATATAATCTTCTTTTGTTTAACTGCTATGGATTTTAATTAGCTAAGTCAAAAATGAAAATTAAGCATGAAACCAAAATGCCTAAATGTATATTTATAGTACTGAGTGTAGAAACTGACTGTCTTCTCACTGTACAGATGATATTCAACTAGTGCTGGATCCATCATCAAAGAGAGTTGTGAAAAATACGGAAAGGCCCTAATGACACATCTTATATGTAATTAAAAATTTAAAATAAGGCCTGTAAGGCTAAAGAACCAATAAAGCTCAGGTTGGAAAAGAGAAGGTAGAGAGGCAATTTAATAATGCCTCATGTCTCAAGAAAAAGAGCTGTTATACATGGTAACTAGCTGTCCTCCACCTCTACCATGGGTACAAGATGAAACAAGTTTAAGATTGTAGCATGAAGTTCAGAGTAGATATAGAAAATAAATTACAAGTTCTCAGAAAAGAATTATAGCCTCTCATTTTGGATTTATAAAATGAAATTGACTCAGATCCACCTGAGATGTTAATGGTGATATTACAGGCAGGTATAAAGGTGAAACTTCTCAAGGTTTTTAATGGGATTGAAATTATTATTTAATCTGAGGCACTCAGAGCAGACCTGAGCAGATGATCAGTAAATGCAAAAGTTCTTTTCCAATAAAGTCTCTAACCCACTCAACATATTTAATTTCCCTAGCTTCATTACCACCACTGCGGAGGAGCTGGCTGGAACGTGAGGGAGGAGGAGATGGAGAAAGGACAGGCATTTTGAGGCTGACAGTACGGCAACCTGAAATAGGACTAGGAAAACCTGAATAAACCAAATTTAGTGATTCAGAGTACTCTTTTCCCCCAAGGCCAGAACCTCAAAAGAACTGCTGGAAAGCACATAAATTCACCGCAGCAAGTATCTTCTCTGGAAATGTGATGCTGTGGTTGGCAAAACTATGCACTGCAGAGAGAACTTACTGCACTCTAGCTATTAAAACGAGAGCCTGGAAAATATTAAACTCCTTATCTGTTTAAAATCAATGCAATAAATGGGAATTAATGATATTTTTAATGGAATCTTGCTTTGTTTGTATCTTCAAGAGAAATAAGATATATCATTCCAAAATGGGAAGGAAAAAACCCAGTCTTTGGGTAGCTGATCATAAGTGCTATCTAGTCTGAAAAAGGTAAGGATGGCCCACTTTCCCAAGGACAAATTTAAAATACTTCCAAGAAATCTGATATTGGAGGACAGATTTTACTGGATCCTCAGGCCATCCCTTTCCTAAGGATAAAGTCCCTAGACACAGGACTTAAAACCTAAGTGAATTAAAAGACACAGGGTATATCAGTTTGCTAAGGCTGTCACAACAACTTAAGCCATCACAGACTAGGAGGCTTAAACAACAGAATATATTTTCTTCCAGATCTGGAGACTGGAAGTCTTTGGCTTGTAGACGGCCATCTTCTCCTTTTAAGTCATCACATGGTCTTCCTTCTACGTGTCTGTGTCCGAATTCCCTTTTCTTATAAGGACAGCAGTCTAATGGATCAAGGCCCATCCCAATGACTTCATTTTAACTTAATTACGTCTTTAAAAACCAATCTCCAAAATGGTCATATTCTAAGGTACTGGGGATCAGGACTTCAACATATGAACAATTCAGCACATACACTGGGTTAATAAATTTATGAAACAGGATTTAAAAAAAAAAGATTTATTTATTTTTTTAAGCATTTGCTTGTTCTTTTTTTTTTTTTAATTTTGACAGAGAGAGAGAGAGAGAGAGAGAGAGAGTGTGTGTACAAGTAGGGGAAGCAGCAGGCAGAGGGAGAGGGAGAAGCAGGCTCTGCTCAGCAGGGAGCCCAATGCGGGGCTCGATCCCAGGACCCTGGGGATCATGACCCGAGCTGAAGGCAGATGCTTAACGACTGAGCCACCCAGGTGCCCCTGTTTATTTATTTGACAGAGAGAGTAAGAGAGAGTGCGCATGCACCTGGGGGCAGGGAGCCTGACCCAGGGCTCAATCTCACAACCCTGAGATCATGACCTGAGTCGATATCAAGAGTTGGATGCTTAACCAACTGAGCCACCCAGGTGCCCCTGAAACAGGATTTAAAAAAAAAAACAAAAAAACAGCTCATAGATTATTCATCTTTACACCACTGTAATTTAAAAATGACAGAAACTATCAAGAGGTAAACTTAGCAGATACCGTACTTACATAATGGGAATTTGATACTGCCCTTGGGAGAGAAAAGGTCAGGTTTTTATGCACCACCCACTTACCCATCCAGTATTCAGTGAGTGTCTTCCATGTGCTAGTAAGCACTGTAGTTAAACAGGAGAGGAAACCAGAAAAGTCGATCAGGAGCAGATGGTGAATAGCTTTGGAAGTGAGACCTGATCTGACAGGCAGCAGGAAAGACTTTTAAGTAAGAATACCATGAGAAGTTTTAAAAAAAATAATTGCTAAAGTTAAAGCATATAAGATGCACTTCAGACAAGAAAGAAGAAGGAAGATACTGCTGTACGTTAACTAATGGCAGAGGTGCTACCAACTTGTAATGCCATTTTTTTTTTTTTAAGATTTTATTTGACAGAGAGAGAGCGTGTGAGAGCACAAGCAGGGGGAATGGCAGAGGAAGAGGGAGAAGCAGGCTCCCTGCTGAGCAGGGAGCCCAATGCAGGGCTCGATCCCAGGACCCCAGGACCATGACCTGAGCCGAAGGCAGATGCCTAACCAACTGAGGCACCCAGGTGCCCTGTAATGCCTTTTTCTTTCTTTCTTCTTTCTTTCTTTCTTCTTTTCTTTCTTTCTTT